GGTGTATATTTACTACTTGTTTGTTTTGTTTCAAATTTTTTACTTTATATGATTATTTGAGCTAGTTTTATTTGAGCTAATTTTGATTAACAGGCAACGAAAATTTTGATTAACAAGCAGTAGAGCAGGTGATAGTTTTATTTAACAGGGACTTTGAATACTCGTAAGATCTATCATTCCCTGTGAGTATATTCTCCGTGGGTATGGAGACAAAGGCTATTTTTAACCCTCCGTTGAAAATTCTTGTGGAAATCCCATACACGCTATTGACGAGGATAGGGATGGGAAGGGGGGGGTCCCCGTTTTGTGGGGACCCATTGCCATCCCTACTTGACTATGATTAATGAGTCTTCGATAATGGTTGGGGAGTCACCAAAGATGAAGTCAACAGTGCTAGAAATGACACAGTTCTGATTGAATTGACAGTTTGCATGTGCATACGAGGTATCTTGGTAGCCATCAAATTTTTTCAATTCTCATTATTTTTTTCTCTCCATACTAGACGGAAGATTGATGAAGGAGAGATTTTTCTATCTACTCTTTCAATGCATAAATTAGTTGTTTTTCAGTTTTTTTAGGGGAATGGTATGGACATTAATTTTAAATGAGTGCAACTTACAGATCACCACTTGTATGTTTAACCAAGAAATTCCACCCCTTTATTATAGATCAAATGAAGTAGACGTGATTAATACAGTGAACCGCAAAAATGAGAAGTTTACACTCTTTTCTTTTTCTCATATATACGTAACTATATATACATAAATTTTATAAATCATACTTATATAAAATTTTAATAATTCATCTTTTTATTTTCAATATTTGAAATGTATTCACATTTATTAAAGATAATTATATTTCATATTTAAAAAGTTATGATAAATCTCAATTATTGAAAATGAAAAGATAAATTATCAAAATTTTATATAATTATAATAGCAAAGTGTGCATTAGTCCTAACTCCCAAAGAAAATTAGAGTCCCAACCAAAACGACGTCGTTCTCTTAATTCCAACCCCTCCTCTTTGCCTTTGCCTCTTTTGCAATCATCTCCATCTCTATCTCTGATTCCTTCTCCATCGCCTCTCATCTCCATCGACTCCTCCAAATCCTCCGATTCCACTGCACTTCATCTTCTCTATCAACGGTAACCCCTGTTTTTTTTTCACTTCTTTTGCAATCATCCCCATCTCCATCGATTCCTCCAATTCCTCCAAATTTTCAAATGTAATCCTACACCAACGATTTAATCTCCAACACCCACTACTTTAACCCCATTATGCTGCTGCAATTCATTATCTCTGTCGATTCTATCGTTGCAATTCATCATCTCCGTCGAAGAGAAGGGATCGAGGGACGGTAAGCTCTATTTACCCAAAACAATCGAAAAAATCTCTCTTTTTTTGTTGGGTCTCTTTTTAATCATCGATCCCTTGAATTTGTCAGATACAATCACGCCATCAATGGTAGCAAAAAAGGAATCGAAGGAAACGACCTTCTGAAATTCTATGATTTACCCTCTTTTATTCTCCATCAGCAACAGGGACAGAAAGTATTTTTGTTTTGTTACTCCAATTTCTTGTTGAATCTGGAATAGAGAAGGTTGCTTTTAGGAATTGTTGCTTTTAGGAATTGTTTCTTTATTCAATTAAATTTGGTAGTCAGAGTCATCTTTTCTTAACTATCTTTTCTTAACTATTTGATGATAAATTTCTTAAACTGGTGCCTTGTAATTTATGTAAATTATTTGGTCATGCTATAGAATACTAGTATTTTGAGGATTGGAGCATGCAGGTGACTGTGGTATTAATGGTGTTGTCACACTACTTCCTTTAGAACTGCTCTATGCTATTAGAATTTAGTATTGTTTTCCTTGGTGCCCCCTAGAAGCATGGCTTTGGAGTTTTTCAAATTGGTAGCTTTTATTTGTTCCTTACATTAAGTTTGCAAATTGGTACCTGTGCTATTAGAATTTATTTGTTCCAGAATTTAGGCCTCGCTTTATGGTTTTAATTTGAAGATTGTATTTGTGTATCTGGGAATCATTTCTTTTTGGAATAGCAAAGAATCAATCACTCTTTGGTTTATTAATGCTTTGGTCAAGTCAGATGGAAATATTTTTGTTTGTTGTGTTGTTTGGACAAGGTTAATGCTTAGGAAAAATTCAAGTA